ACCGGTCCATTGGACCAATAGGCCAGTTGGTCTAGTCGGTCTTTTGGACGAAGTGGCTAATCGGTCCAGGCGGTCCATTGGACCGAAAGGCCAGAAGGTCCAGCCAGTCCGTTGGACGAGCAGGACCGTTGGTCCAACCGGTCAATTGGACCAACACGCCAGTTGGTCCAACCGGTGCATTAGACCAACAGGCCTGTTGGCCCAGCTGGTCCATTGGATCATTAGGCTCGTTGGTCGAACTGGTCCATTGGACGAAGAGGCCTAATTGTCCAAGCGGTCCATTGGACCAACATGCTAGTTGGTCAAGCCGGTCCATTGCACTAACAAGCCAGTTGGTCTAGCCGGTCCATTGGACCAACAGGTCAGTTGGTCCAACCAGGGGACAGAGTTCTAAGGGGAGTTCAAGAAGCTTTTGGACGAGGCGGGGATTATGCACTGGCCCACGTCACGCTATCACCCACAAAGTGATGGATTGACAGAGCAGCTGGTTCATACTCTCAAGAGAGGGCTTAGGGCATATGGGGAGAAGAGGAAGCGGGACTGGGATGATGAATTACATTGGGTGGCAGCGAGATACAGATTCGGGAAGCAGGCGGCTTTGAAGGATCACTCGCCTTACAGCCTCCTGTTCGGCTGTGAACCAGTCCTGCTCGTAGGAGCCCCGCGGGTCCTCACAGACACGGTGAAAGCAGGCAACATTCCCAACTGGGTTGCACTTTCAGAAGCCAGGGCCAGGTACCTGCGGGTGGTTATGTCAGCAGCGCTGGAGAACCTCCACACTACACAGCTGAGGGATGCCAGGCGATATGAGCAGCGACAGAATCAAGGGTTGGGGGGCAGAGTGAAGAAGGGGGTGAGCCAGGGGCAAGAAGTGTACCTGAAACGGGCGAAGCAAGATACCTTGGATGTCGGGGTGGGGTTAGAGAGATGGAGGGTGAGGGAAGTGCGGCCCTTAGGAATATTGGTGTTGGAGAACGACAAGGGAGCACAGTTGAAGGAGCACCAGAGCAACACCGCCCAATTTATGTCAGCTGTTCTCACTTGTGTTACTCACCCCGCTCCTTCACCTCGCGCAAAATCCGGACTCGGTCGCAGGGTGGCGTCTGCTGCTGTTTCTCCCTCGGCTCACTCTTCGCCAAACGTCGCCTAGAAGACCGAAGTGGCCCGAAGTCAAAGCCCGTCTCAGAGCTTTCCAGCGTGGCGAATGGGGGCAGCTGTACTCTGGCAGAATTGCAGCCATCAATACCCCACCGCCAACACGTCACCAGCCAGACGAGGCGGGAGTACTCAGCAGGGCGGAGGGCCTGGCCAAGCGTGGAAGTCTACGGCGAGCCGTGCTGGCCCTCGAGTCAACCCCAGTCTGCACGCCAGGCCTAGCAATCTTCGCGCAAAACACGCCCGAGCCGACGACGAGGAGCTGAGCTTGCCAACAGCACCTGGCCCGAACCTCCAAATCAGCCACGCCGATTTCTCCAAACTTCTGGGTCGGTGCGAGAATGGGGTGGGGACTGGACCGTCCGGAACCGCTTTCGAACACCTTCGCGCTGCATCTGCAACCAACGCATCGGTCTGCACCCACCTGCATGCCTTGATCAACACTATCCTGACAGGCAAATTACCCGAGCCAGTGGCAGACCTGCTGACAGCCTCACGCCTAATTGCGCTGTCCAAGCCAGGTGGGGGGGTTTGGCCAATTGCAATTGGCGAATGCCTGACGCGCCTCGCGGCCAAGGCAGCTCTGACCGCAATTGGAGAAGCTGCACGTGACCACTTCTTGCCACTACAGTACGGGGTGGCGGTACCAGGGGGAGCAGAGGCAAACATCCATGTCGCACGTGCCTTCATCGACTCGAGGGACGGCTGCGTGGTGCTACAGACCGACATCTCAAACGCTTTTAACAGCATTTCGCGACAGGCAATCATCAACGGGTTACGCGACAACAACCTTTCGTCACTGCTCCCTCTGGTGTGGCTAACGTACGGTAACCCATCGAAGCTGTACCTCGACTTGAACTTCGCCAGCAACCCGCTAAATAGCGAACGCGGGGTGAGGCAGGGGGACCCACTCGGCCCTCTACTGTTTGCAGCAGGGATTCACCCAGCACTTCGCGAAACTGCGGACGCACACCCCCACGTTCTTTGCTTGGCGTATGCAGACGACGTGACATTTTTGGGGGACGACACGGACACTGTAGCAGCATTCAATTTCTTCACAAGCAAGCTAGCGCAGTTGGGCCTTAAACATAATCCACAGAAATGTGCGGCATGGAGCACAAGGGGCGACGATCCAATTCAGCTGCCACCAGGGGTCCCGTTTTCCAAGGACGGGATACGCCTTCTAGGCAGCTTCCTGGGGCCAGCGGCGGGCGCGGCCAAATTCCTGGCGGGGCAGCTAGAGGAAATGGCGAAGCCGCTGCCGCTCTTATAACGTGCCGGCCCCCAAGTAGCCTCCCTGCTCTTGACCTGCTGCATTTCCAGACGCGTCGCATACCTCACTAGGACTACACCACTGAACCTCCTACCACGAGACACCTGGGCACAGTGGGGGAGAGTGTCAGTAGATCTGCACTGTGGATGCCCGATTGATCCTGGAGAGGGTTACAGGCGCGTTCGCCTGGGGGGTTATGGGCGCACTGACCCGCTACTGAAACAAGCCCTTTTATCCCAATGGTCTAGTGGTTGGGATTCTGACATGGTATCAGAGCGGTCTCGGGTTCGAGTCCCGGTGTATGCACATGTAGGCCGTTGCCGCTGTGCTTAGTCCTGGACCTCCCAGTGTGGGGGGGTGTCAGTAGATCTGCACTGTGGATGCCCGATTGATCCTGGAGAGGGTTACAGGCGCGTTCGCCTGGGGGGTTATGGGCGCACTGACCCGCTACTGAAACAAGCCCTTTCATCCCAATGGTCTAGTGGTTGGGATTCTGACAGAGAGACCTCCTAGCCGCGCTCCTGACATCCTGCGGGATTAGAGTCCCTACTTGTAGCACGGAGCAGTTGAGAGTGTGGGCGCAGGCCTCGCTTCCATCATCCTTGGGCGGCCTAGGAATCACGGACCCACTCGTAGAAGGCGTCTACGGCTTCATAGCCAGCTTCACACAGGCCGCGCTCTTCTTTTCCTCCCTGACGCTAGCACCAGCCACAGCACTAACCCGAGCACACGGCCACATGATTCTGCCCCGGGACGTCACCACACCGCTTCACTTCTGGCTCACAGAGTGCGAGACTGCCCTGCCCTCTGACGCACGCGACGTAGTTTACCAGGAGCGGCTCTCTCGGTCGGACATCAAGCTCCAGCACACTCTGGCCCTGAAATTACAGGGGAGTAGGTACGCGGTACAGGTCCAAGAGACGAGACGAATGAGACTAGATCCACTCTCTGGGCACACACAGGGAATGTTCTCACTCACAGGCTACGGCACAAGGGTCTGGCTGACGGCGATACCGGTAGCGTCCTCACGTCGCATCGGCCCGGTACACTTCAGCAACGCCGTGCGCTTCCGGTTGGGCCTCCCTTTCTGTACTCCGAAGAAGTGTGACTGTGCAGAACACATCGCTATCACAGACCCGCGCCTCCCCAACCACCTCTTCCGGTGCGCCACGGGGAAGCACCGGACGAATACTCATAACGAACTCCGCAACGCGTGTATCAGCATGGTGCAAGATGCGGGGTTCATAGTACATAGGGAGACAAACGTCTACTGCCCCATAGAGGAGCAGACGGCAGATTTTACCATGACAGACAAAAGTAGTGGGGCGGTTTGGGTGTGTGATGTCACGGTCACAGATCCTATTAGCACCAGGGACCCGGAGGCACGGAAAGGCAGGGGATGGGCAGCCCGGGAGCAGGCGGATAAAAAGATGAAGCACTATGAAAACTGGCCAGAGACAGTAGGTTTCTTTCCCCTCGCAGTGGAGACCTACGGCTGCCCTTGTGCTGAGGTCCCTGTGTTCCTGAAACTCCTTGCAGACACGGCGGCTCGGCGATACTTCAACGTCGACTCCAAATCCTATCATGCCGCGAAGTTCCTGCACCAGTTCAGGCAGAGGTGGTCGGTTGCACTGCAGAGGGCCCAATCTGTGGGTCTCATGATCAAGTTAGGGGAGGCGGCTGTTGCAGAGAACCCACCTGTAGGAGGGATAGGGCAGGAATTATACCTTGGGGACTGTTTTACTGTCCTGGAGCCTCTTCTTGAGCTCTAGGTGGCACAGAAGGGTTGGATAGTCTAGGCTACCCTGCATATTAGCACCTTGCTGTCTCTCATTGCATGTGTGTACCCTTCTGGCTTATCAATATACGGACCATTGCATATGTTATAACAGTAGAATGCAGGTGTAGTTATGATGCTAAGATAAGGACTATATGTGTAGGAAAGCTTATACAATGATACTAGCATAGGTGTGTAGAATGTAGCGATATGACTGTTGTAGAGGAGTGTAGTAGGGGGGAACCGAATTGAAGCGGTTGGAATCACGGGGGAAAGGGACGGAAGGGCGAATTGTGAAATCAGGGAGCACCAATCCCGAGCCGCACATTTGGGAAATGTGCAGCTTGTCATCTAAGCTCTAGCACACCGTGGCAGTCACTAAGAGAGGAACCTATGGGTTGAGGGAGGGAGCTCTTTCATAACAAGCCTAAGGACTGAACCGGCGCAAGTATGGATAAATATGAATTGCGTTTGGGGTAGGATGTTTAGCCGTCGCGAGGAAGAACGGCCGCAAAGCGAGCCGTCACGCGAGCGAGGGCGATCGGTAGAGCGATCGCCATGTAGGCCGGCCTTCCGCGCAGATCGAGTTCCCTTAGCCCGTGACCGTCGAGAGGAAGCAGCGACGGGCGCTGCGAGGAAGGGAGGTTCCGCTCCCAAGAGGGGCGAGGACGGCGCCGTGACGACCGCGGCCGTTGGCAGGGCTTCGGGGAATTTCCCCGGGAACGAGGAGATGCGCGCGGCGACGACCGCGCGGAGGGCACACCGGACGGCGCGGCGCCAGTGGTGGAGGGAGCGCTAGACGCAGAAGCGGACGAGGAGGGCCAGGGGCTGCAGGACGAAAGCGCCAAGGAGGGAGATGACGACGAAGACCGGGCCGCGGAATTCGACGAGCACGGCGATGACGCGGAACACGCCGAACACGCACAGGCGGACGAGAACATTGGCGCGAGCCAGGCGGAGGGATAGCACGGCCGCGAGGCCAGCAGTGGGGAAGAGCAGCGCGCCAAGGACGCGCTTCAGCAGGAGCGGATAGCCCAAGATGAGAGGGAGCGCGAGACGCGGAGACAAAGGCAGCGGGGCGCGGGAAGGGCGGAGCGGATCCACGCGCCAGAAAGAGAGCAGCAGCGTGGAGACGGACGTGGAGGGGATTCCAGGGCGCATGACCGATGGGGAGAGCGGGGAGATTGGAGTGGCGACGGCGGGCAGCCGCTGGAGCGGCAGCAGGCACGCAGGAATCGGTGGGAGGATGAGCCGCGCGCTCCAGAGACATATGGGCGCCCAGGGAGGAGAGACCGGGCGGAGCAGTGGCCGCAGGAGCAGCGCTGGAGGCTGTCAGTGGAGCGCGGCAGCGCGACGCGCGGGCAGGAGCGGACCAGGCAGGGAGGGAGGAGGGACAACAGCGGGTCCCGTTCGCCAGAGGGGCGCCGCCAGAGAAGGGGCAAGGAGGAAGAAGACGGGCACTCGCTTGAGCACCGCCAACAGCCCAGTGGACGTGGGGAGGCCTGGTCATCGTCGCTAGAGAGACGTAGGCACCGCGAGACAAGCAGAGGAGAGGGGCGGAGGATGTATGGCCCGCCGACACAGCAATGGGCTCGGACGAAGGAGTGGGGAGGGCCAAAGGAAGGGCGTCGTGCGGCGGAGTGGAGTCGGCCAGAGAGCGGGAGCCTGGTGTACGGTGCGGAGCGGGCACGGGAGGCCAGAGAGGGCATGTTGAAGGCAAGGGCGAGAGGGGTGGGGAGCAGTCGGCCGGGTGGATATAGCGAATCGTGGGGAGAGGGGCGGGGGGGTGCTGCTAGCGCGCCTCGGGTGGAGGTGCCCGCTAGGTTCTCAGAAGACCAACGCGCGGGGCCGACCCTCAAAAACTACTTGATGCAAGTGGGGAATCTGCGGTACCGCTGGGATAGGCTCAATGTAGACCCCGTAGACTTTTTCCTGAGTTTACCCAACACGCTGGAGGGAGAGGCAGAAACGCTGTACCGCATGCGGATGGAGGAATTGCTATGGAGGGCAGGGAAGTATGGAGAGAACCCCACCGAGGCGTTTCTGGAGCGGCTACAGCGGCAGTTCCCAGGGCATACGGCGGAGCAGATAAGGGAGTTCCAAGAGTTCCGGAGGGGACGGGCGGAGTCCCTGCTGACCTACTACAATAGGTTGATCAACGTGGCAGAGGACGTGAAGTGCGCGGACAACAGCCTGCTCATTAGCAAGTTCCTGGGAGGCTTGGACGAGGCATTGGGGGGGGGGCTGAGGATGAGGGGAGACGAGTTAGGGGCAGAGGCGGCTCTGGAGGAGGTGTTTGAGTTGGCCGGGAAGGTAGAGCTGGCGTAGCAGAAATATGAAGCCTACCTCCCGAAGCCAACAGAGAGAAGCCGCTGGCCAACATGGGCGGCAGCCATGATACCTGAGGAGTGTTGGAGTGGTTCGCGGAACCACACTAACGACGGCGCTCATAATTCAGACTGACGACTACGACGGACTGACAGTGGCGTGTTGAAAGTGCCTTGGGAACCAGAGAGGAAGCTCGACATTGCTTGGGAACTACGGCAAGAGAAACACGAAAGGAGTGAAGAAGATTATTGACGGGTGAAAAGAGAAGTGAAGAACCAGGGAGAAATTGGTTGACGGGGGAAAATGAGTGGGTAAACTGTGGCGTGTTCAACAAGGAACCAAATGCGGACTTCAGGCGCGTTCGACGAAGGTGGAAAAGGTTGTGTGTGCGACGCGGGATGAAACGAGGCAAGGCGTAACGTGTTGAACACGTTTGGTTACCTAGCTCACTTGTGTACCTTGCTTGAACCTATATATTTGTTGTACCAGTTTGTTGGAGTGACACTTTTTGGAAATTCTCTCGCTTCAAATTGTGCTGCACACTGATTGGTCGAAATTTGTGACACATCGTAAGACTCCCGTCAGATTCGCGTCAAACCTACGGAGAAGCCTTTGTGAAGGCTTAGGCAAGCAACAGTGATAGAAATTTCAGCCGCGAGACTCCCGTCAAAGCCCCGCGAAGGGCCGAATCTGTTTCACTCGAGTGTAGGGCCCGTGAATGCCCCGTGAAAGCCATGCGAAGCTGATTTCGAAATCAGGACGCGTCAGGATCGCGTGAAGGGCCCGTTCAGGCCCCGTCAAGGCCGCGTCAGCCTCTCGTGAGGCGTTTCGCGACTAACAAGGAGAAGGGGAGGGCGGACCCGCGAGGGGAGATGCGGGCACATACCCACACGTGCCACCGCTGCGGGCAGGTGGGGCACCTCCGTAGGGACTGCAAGGCTTGTGATGGCTGTGGGAAGCTGGGGCACCGAAAGAGGGAATGTCCTGATGCAGCCCGGTGCGAGATCTGTGGGAAGCGGGGGCATGATGCCAAGGAGTGCTATCAGAAGGAAGGGGGAGTGAGGAGGAATCCAGAGGAGCTGCAAAGGCAGATCAGCAGGTTACAGTCTCAGCTGCAAGCCATGGGGCCTAGGTGGGAGGCCGAGGCAGGAATGTACGCCAGGGATGATGAAGGGGAGGAGGTGGAGCCGGATGCTCAGTGTGCCCTGATGGCATGGAGGGGGAGAGAAGAGATGGGGCTGCGGAGCGGGGGACGGGATGGCAGGCAGGAGCACGGCAGGAAAAAGCGGGAACGAGGACACCAGCCCGACCCTATGGCGCAGGAGAATCCTCCTGCCCACCACCTGCAAGAGAGACTGGCATGTCAGACGTCGGTGCTACTAGTGGGGGCAGGAGCAATGGAGGTAGAAGGGAGGAAGGTGAAGACGGCCATCATTGATACAGGGGCACAGAGCGTGATGTTAGGCAAGGGAATGGCAGAACGGCTAGGACTGATGGCCCCGGAGAGGCAAGTGGCAAAGGGCATATTGGTGATGACAGCAGAAGGGGGGGAGCCGAAGTGGATGCCATGCACACGGACACCCATAGAGCTGACCCTGCTGCCAGGAGGGGAGCAGGAAACCCGGATCAGGATGAAATGCGGGATTTCAGAATTCGAAGACTTTGATGTGTTGGTAGGGACGGAGATAGTGTTTGCGGTGGGCATGAGCATTTGCACCTGGACAGAGAAGGTAGAATTCCGCACGAGGTACTGGAAGGAGGGGCCCTTGGGGCAACTGCCAGTGCAATTTGTTAGGGTGGAGCCAAAAAGGGCATACCAGGCCCGCGCAAAAGAGGATGTGGGGAAGCAGCAGACAGGGGGAGAGGAACAGGTGGGGGCAGAGGAGATCAAGGAGGGGCCTAGGATGAGGCTGATGGACGCCCCATAGAAGCAGAGCAACTGGCAGCAGCCCATTTGCTTGGTGGAGCTGTTCGGCGGAATTGGGGCAGGGCTGGCAGCGGTGGTCCGGAATGGGATAGTGGTGCAGCAGTGGATCTATGTAGAGCGAGCGCCAGAGGTGAGGAGGATGGCGGAGCATCATGCGTGGAGGCTGCAGGCCGAGTTCCCAGAGCTCCTGAGCGCGGCGGTGATTCAGGGTGCCATGAGCAGCACCCTCCATGACGTGAGCCAGGTGACAGAGGCGCAGGTGGCCAGCTGGGGGCAAGTGGATCTACTGGTAGCAGGATGGGAGTGTCAAGGGGTGTCATGGGCTAGAAAGGGGAAGGGAGGAGAAGACTCGAGGACGAAGCTGATGGAGAGTCTGTTCCACATTTTGGAGTGGCTGCAAGAGAGGCAGGGAAGGGTGGCGTACCTGCTAGAGAATCTGGACTTGGAAGGAGATTGCCGCGAGCCGATCCGGTTGGTGAGAGAGAGAATCAGCAAACAGTTGGGGAAGGGGGTCAGCTGTGACGCAGCTAGGATGGGGTCTTATGCACATCGGCTCAGGATGTATTGGCAGAACGTCGCCACGGTGCTGCAACTGCAAGAAGAGGTGGAAGGGGTGAAGAGAGCGGCGGACAGAAGGGTGCAGGACATTTTGGAACCAGGGCGGACTCCTGCACCAGTGAGACAGGCACACTGCCCGTGCAACCAGGTGGGGCGAGAGAGGAGAGCCCTGCCCACCTTGGTGTCGTATGTGGGGGCAGCCGGCTACAAGTGGGATGGGGGAAAGCCGGGGCCAGGTTTGGTGTATGATCACAGACAGGGGCGGTGGGAGGAACCGACGGCGTTAGAGAGAGAGTTGGCCATGGGGTACGGGGAGAACGTGACAGCAGCCCCAGGGGTGAGTGAAGAGGAGAGGAGGAGGGCACTGGAGAACGCCATGGATGGGCATATGATGAGGTGGCTGGTTCAAAGGATGTGGAGGGAGACGGTCTTGAGCTGGGGGCATGAGGCCAAGGGAACGGATGCGGTAGCGGTCCCACAAGGAGCATGGGCATGCAGGGAGGAAGAGAGACCACAATGGACGGTGGGAGAGGCGCTGAGTAAAGAGGGAAGGGGGGCAATGCCGGAGCTGCTGCACAAGCACAGGAAGTGCTTTGCCTTCACGCTGCAGGAGTTGGGACGGTGCAAGGTGAAGGAGATGGAGCTGAAACTGAATAGCACGGAGCCGGTGTTTCATCGCAGGAGGAAGATGCCGCACGGGGATGAGGAAATATGCAAAGAGAAGATTAAGGAGCTGCTGGAAGCAGGACTGATTAGACGCTCCGAATCTGAATACGCTACGCCAACAGTGGTGGCTGCAAGGAAGGACCTGACAGAGGAGGTACTGAGCAGGAGGATGTGTGGCAACTACAGAGCGCTCAACAAGATTACCATAGCCGACACGTACCCGATGCCGATGGCGGAAGAAATCTTTGACAGGCTAGCAGAAGGGGTCTTCTTCACGACGCTGGACCTGCGGCAGGGGTTCAATCAAATCAAAATCAGAGAGGAGGACATAAAGAAGACTGCGTTCCATGGGTCCGATGGGCTGTAAGAGTGGCTGTACATGTCTTTTGGATTGAGGAATGCGTCAGCCGTGTTCCAGGGGGTTATGGATGCGGTGCTGCGAGATGTAGACTGCGCGGCCTGCTACATAGATGATGTGGTGATCTTCAGCACCACTGAGCAGCAGCACCTGCAAGATGTGGGGAAGACGCTGGCGGCGCTAGAGGCAGCAGGGCTTACATGCCACCCCAAGAAGTGCAGGTGGGGGGAGCAGACGGTGCAGTACCTGGGATACAAGGTGAAAGGGGGGCAGATTGGGATCCAGCAGGCAAAGGTGGAGGTCTTGGACCGGCTGCGGGAGCCCAAGGACAAGTCGGGGCTCAGGGCAGTGCTGGGCTTCCTGAGCTACTATCGGCGGTTTGTACCCAACTTCAGCAAGCGAGCAGCAGCGTTGAATGGGCTACTGAGGGAGGACAGGGCCTGGGAGTGGGGGGAAGCACAGAAGGGGGCGTTGCAGGACTTGATGGCCGCAGTGAAGACAGCCACCGTACTGCAACTGCCAGCTGCAAACCAGCCCTTCACCCTCTACACTGACTGGAGCAGCCAAGGGATTGGGGGGATACTTTGCCAAGAGGTGAAGGGAGAGAAGAAGGTAGTGGCCTACACGAGCAGAAGCTGCAATTCGGCGGAGGCGCAGTACAGTTCCTACATTG